GGAAATTGCACAAATGTGGTAGGTACCTCTCATGTGACTTGAATACAAGACCTCCTGGGTATAGCTAATCCCAATGACTAAAAAGTTTGTTATCCGACCACAAGAGGAAAGGTATATCATATCATTTATTAGTAATATAATTATTTGTAATACAAACTAATTAACAAATTCTACATATATCATATATAATTAATTTTATGATGCCTTTAAGAAGTTGTAATACACAATATTTTCAGAAATTATTTAGTTAAAATATTTATTATGGTATATTTCAATAATAAAATAGACATAATATTGATTTTATAAATTAGTTATTATATAATGTCAATAATAGTACAAATTATTTTTCACAAGAAGCCTATGAGTGAGAGCTGATAAATATTAGTTTGAAATTTATGAAAATTGGTGTAAAAAAGATGTGAGTGCATTTAGAAAATAGACTTGAAATTTTGAATCAAATGAAACCTAAAACCAATTATATTAAACTTGAAACCAATGAAGTATGGTACTAAAAACATTGGGCTTGAGTTGAGACCTTCAACATATATAACTTGTAACATAAAAAACATAAAACATAATATTTGAAAGCTATAACCAACCCAACGCGGCCGGGTGTAGGGGTGTTAATAACCAGTTAACCGAACCAGTTTCCCCTATTTTTGAACTGAATCGGATTTCTAATTTGGGAAAATTCTTGAACCGAAACAGAACTGGGTTTGGGGGAAACAGGTTTTTCGGTTAACCGAAAAACCAATTAATTAATTAGTAAAAACCAGTTAACCGGTTTTGAACCAGTTTTGCCAATATTGAATCATGTGCTTGGTTTTGCTTTGCATTAATCTTAATTCTTTTATAATTACCATCACCTCTTGATACTTGAAATTAATTTCCATGTGGAAAAACCTACTCTATATCAAAAGATCGAAGCAATAGAAATGAATGGCCGAGTGTTCTTTCAAGAAGGAAGGTGCTGATACATAAATTCATTTTTGTTCATAAAGGACAAAAAAAGAAAGAAATGAATAATTAATTAGCTTCGAGATATATAAGTTGTTAGTGGCAACCCTATATATATTTTTCTCACAAAGCAGCTCCACAAAAAGAAGAAAAAAGAGCAAAACCTAAGGTCTCTTCTAGAGACTAAAACAAAGAAGTTTTGCAAGAATTTAATTTTATTTTGAAAGAAAGAAAATACTATTCGATCATACTGACTGCACTCTTATTTATAAAATTCTGTGACACCTTGAAGCCCTTGAAAAGAACAAACGACTTGAAAGTTGGAAAATCCAGCATTTTTACGCAAGGCCTCAAATTCTTTTGTTGTCCTTTCCTTTCTTTACCAGATGAAGTAACCGTGAACAAAACATTATCAACTATAGAAAAAAAAAACATAGCGGACCTGCTTGACTGAGACCTTTTCGATCTCACTGAGTCCTGCTGTGGCTAAAGTTCTTCAGGCGTTGGATTATAGTTTTCAATTTCTCTGATACGCTACAGGACGGGTAAGAGAAAACGGAGAGACAAAAATATATAGCCTTCATGGGAAGAGATGCTAGGAATTGAGGACGAAGCTAAAGAAGGAAAAAAAAAAAAAAAAAAAAAAAAAGAGAAGAAATGTGTGCGGCTAGAGATGACAATTGTACCCGGATTGTTGGGTACCCGACCCGGCCCGTGTTTGTGGGGATGGGCATGGGCTTGGGTTTAGGGCCAACCCTCGGGTACAGGTCGAGCCCGGGACAGCCATTACCAGGCCCGGCTCGAGTTTTTATCATTTAAAAAAATTAAAATTAAAATTCTATTTTATTTGATTATGATTTTGAAATGAATTTATTATACCACTCAAATTTTAGTCAAACTTGAGATCCTTTGTCCACCATATTAATCTATATACACAAAAAATATGGTGATTAAAGTAAGATATACTATTAATAAAGTTAATATGAATAACAAAGAAAAATATATTAAAAATTGCTCATAAGAAAATAAATTATAGAAATTAACATGAGCCGAGATTGGGAGTTACAAAAAGCTCGTCAGGCCGGGCTTGGGCATTACCTGACATCCCCACAACAAGCTAGAGCCAAGCAAGGGTCATGGGGTTGGGCCTGGGCCTAGGCCAAGGAGCACCCGGTCCCAGCCCGGCCCATTGCCATATCTATGTGCGGCGTAAAGGGTGAAGAGTAGTGAAGATTGAAAAAAAGAGAAATAGATTAGAGGATTTAGGGTTGAGAATCGATTTATAAAACCGGTTTCGGTTAACCCATTTTAAAAATTTTGTAAACCGGTAACCGAACCGGAAATATAGTTTATGCATTTCCTTGAAACGAAACCAAACTGGTCTCCTCGGATAATTGAAAAACCAATTCAGTTTCCAATTTAGTTCAGTTTTTGGATTTTTCTAAACACCCCTAATCGGGTGGTCAAATAGAGACTATTGGATGTATTACTCAAGAGTGCTGAGTTTGATTCTCTTTAGTTCCTAGTAGGAATGACCAGACCATTAGAGATTTACCTGGTCATTAACTTCAAGACTCTGGAGGATTAGTTAAGGTGCAAGTTGCTATAACATAAAATTTACAACTATTAGCGTTAAATTAACTTAAAATTGAGAGGAGTTGAAACTAAGAACATTAGATTTGTAACAAAACACTTTTTACTTGAAACCAGTAAGGTGGACTTAAATCTACAAGTCATAATTGAATCGTGCAACAACTACATGAAATCTATAATGTAAAACTTGAAACTTCTAACATTTAACTAGAAACCAACCTGGAAGGTGGACTTAAATCTATAAATCATAATTGAAACGTACAACAACTACACGAAATCTATAATGTAAAACTTGAAAGTTGAAACTACTAACATTTAACTAGAAACCTGAGGGACTTGATAGCAAGAACATAAACATTACAATTGGAACCTTTAACGTGGACTTAAAACCTATAATAACATCTGTAACATAAAACTTGAAACTATTAACATTTGACTTTAAGCCTAGAGGACTTGATATCAGGAACATTTAGTTTAAAACTTACAACATTCCAATTGAAACCCTTAACATAAATTTGATACCTATGAATAATTACTTTCAACTTTAAACAATATACATGAAACTTATAATTTATAACTTGAAACTAAAGGATTTGACACTAAAAACATTATATTTGATACATGTAATGACGTACTTCATGACAACAGGAAAATATACGGCTCAGTGTCTGAGCCAAGTATCCTTATGTGAAATTGTATTTTGCTTAAGGTAGCAAATTCTAATCAAATTACTTGAATTAAACATACACAATATTACCCTAAAAACGTAGGGATAAACAAATCTAAAATTAAAATTAAAAATACCATGACCAATTTTTTTGTATATAATTTAAGGATTACTTAATATGTAATGACGATTATCTTGTGACAAAGTAGTTTTCAACTAATATTATAATCCTTTTAATGAAATTTCATTAAGATTATTCAAACCTAAGATCTTGATAATAAAGAAAGTTGTTTGTATCTTAGTCAAATTTTTTTTTTAAAAAATAAAGAAATTTCATAAGATTATTGAAACCATCATACGTACAAAGATCTTGACATTTAATGAAGTTGTTTGTATTTTAGTTAAAAAAAAATATATATTTGAAAATAAAAAATAGCCAACAATAAACTAAAGTGGGTCCAACCCAATCCCTTATGATCTGATTGACACGTGGCGTCTTCCAGAATTTTGTTTAAGTGCCCAACAACGCTCCCATAAAAAGTCAAGCGACTCAGTCCACCCACGCGCACGTTCAGTTTTACCCTACCGCGCACAATTGTTACAAACAGACTACACAATGCTAACGTGCGCTGCCTACGTAGCCACAGGCCAATAATAATTCGGTTAAAACAAAAGCATATTCTCTCCCAATGGCAAAGCCATTACTTTCATGTTTTTTTTATTTGTTCATAATTACGGCAAATTTTCTCTAGACCCATTAGCTTTATTTTGAATTTTTGTGATTTTATCATTTTATGAGTTTGAGAGTTTCATTCATTATCATTAATTTTCTTAAATTAATTGTCAAAATAAGTTAATAAGTAGAATTATGGATGAGATTTATGCATAAAAGGGGACATTAATAGTTATACTCATGTTTTAATTAAAATGATGTATATCTTATCTGATGTTGAAAATATAAATGATTCACCGATGTGGTAATTAATATAGTAATTTATCATATACTTTCAAATTGTTATGATAAGAGAAATTTATGATGCAATTTCAGGGGTTTTACAATAGTATGCGAAATTGTAAACTCAGAACCTAAAATTTGTAAACTAAGAACATAAAACTTATAATATGTACTTTTACATATATGTATTATAGCCAAAGCCCAACTTCACACCTATAATATTACTCTTTGTTAAATTTTTAAAATATATTTTATTCTATATATCTTTATAATTGTTGAGAGTTGTGAAATTTACGTTTAAAAGTTAAAGTTGAGAGTACTTTTATGGGTGAATAGTGTTTCAAGAATTTAAACTTATAAGGGGTAAATGATATCATTTAATAGGTTAGTATTTTGAGTAATTGACAAGTGCTTGTACCTTGTTTTATACTAATTACGTGAACTTCTCATTTCTATGGATACTCTTTTTATTGACTCGATCGATGAATGTTTCTAGGCAACGTCACTAGTTAATTAATCTCAGTAATATTGTAACAAGCACAACCCATGCGTTTTACATGATTAGATAGAAAGATTTTTTGAGTAGGCAACAAAGTTGATTAGTTTGATTTGGGTAGTATGACAAACATACAACCCATACTCGAACCTAAAACTAACAATGAATGTTACAAGCAAGCTACTAGTTTTTTTTCTTTTTTTCAAAAAAAAAAAAAAAAAAAAAGGGGTATCAATGATATTAATCTAAACATCGGGGTCCAGATGATATTTCCATTTGTTTAATATATCCGCTTTATCACCCTCTCTCTCATTTTCATCGTTTCTAACGGATTCGTTTCTCATATTTTCCAAGAAAATTAAAAAACAAAAATAGACTCCAACACAGTGGAAAAAAAAAAAAAAGGATATTTTTTCTTGGTGGAAAATGGATCTGTGGACTGTTCATGTGAAGAACACCAGCTTAAGCCCTGTTTGGAGGATGAGAAACTTGAAGCCCAGCTCGGGAAATTTCGGAAAAGTTGGTGTTTTTGAGATCAGGCTTTTGAAAAGCAGAGTCGTTTCTTCTTCTAATATTTACCATCATTCTTTGCTTGTCACAGCTATGTCTAAGAAGAATCACGACAACCCATCTGGTAATTTTGATTTTAAATTCTGAGTTAGTTTCCAATTTTGACTTGAATGCCAAATTTTAGGTTAATTTTGTGTTTGTATGGTTTTGATGATGTGATTTTGATAGTGATTGATTTTGTAAATTTTGAGTCTTGGGGGTTATTTGGTTTGTGAGAGATTGGGGGAATAGAATATAGTAGAGCAAAGTATCTAAAAGGAGGTCACTTTTTGATCCTGATACAGTATCATACTTGCAGAGTTGACATGATTGAATAAAATGATCGAATTATTGTAAAGTGTTTATTTTGACTGCGGAGTTAATATTGTTTGAATAATGGTGAAGTAGTTTTCTCTATAGCAGTTTATCTTTGTTGAATTGGCAAAACGTATCCGTATTCATGCTATCGAGTATGGTAGATTTTTCCTTTAGTAACAGATTGTAGCACTTGGAGGACTTGAACTTAATGGGTGTTTATAGTTGCCATAATTGTAGATGCTTTTTGTGAAATTCTTAAAATTAGCACCTGGGATGTTGTCAGACAGTGAAATTATTTAAATGTTTATTGATTTACTGTATTAGTGATTTAACTTGTTACGATTTTTGTTGTTTTAGATTTTCCATATGTGAATGTTGTGCATTTGGTATTTATTGTTATTCCTAGTTGAAAAGTAGTTGCTTTCGAAGCAATGCATGTCTGACATGATGCTATGCTTTACATGAAAGCTCCTTAAAAATATAGCCATTAGCAATAATGAGAGATTGCAACCTTTAGTTGATGAGTGCTGCTATAGATGGGCCGAATATGGATAGGAATTTTTGGTTGTTTATATGAGAGATTGTGTGACATCTGTATGTACAAAGTCAAAATGCGATCTTGTTTTAAAAGGAATTTTGTGCAGTCTATTGCAAAATCATCTTCAACTCCGTTGGTCATATTGTTTTAATTTTCGCCTAAACTCCGTCTTCAACTCCTTTTTGAAGTAGAATTTTAATCGCAGAGCAGTTTTCCTTTATTTGTCAAAAGAATCCGTCAAAAACTGAAAGCTTGAAAAGCAGAAGGTGATGGAAATGGTATGGTGTACAGAAACCTTGTTTCTTCTGTTAATGCAGCACAGCACTCTTAAACTTGTTGGGAAGACAGTGACCTTATTGTTTAAGGTAGGAAGTCTTTTTGTTGGAACATGCAAGGCTTTTGTATTAGGAGTGAATAGTAGCTAATAAATCATTCAATCTTCGAATTGCTCTTTTAGAAATTAATTCTGAGTCTGTGTGTAGGAGAGAAGAGTCTCAATAAGTAACTTTTCCATTTAGTTTGGTTGAAGTCTCTGGAAGCATTTAATCCTGTAATTGATTTTCCAAAAAAATTTGTTTCAATCTCACACTGCTTGCTTTGGATGTAAGCATATTTAAACACAGCATTGATCACGATAAATGCCTCAAGGAGTAATTCCATAAGAGTTGTATGGACATTTCATGAGATCAGGTATATACTCAAGTGACTATATTGCACCCTATTAATTCTCTAAATTAGCCCCCAATGTAAGACAAAATTAACATTAATTTCAAAATTACCCTTACTAATGGATATAATATATATATATTTTTAGTCACATCTTAAGTCCATCATATGAAATGCTGAACCAATTGTAATTTTTGCAACAGAACCACTCAATCCATGAATGTATGAGTCACAAGACTGAAAGTCCTTTATTCTCTCCTACCTGCATCAAATGTGGTGCTTTATCAGTATCTAATCCGAGCATTTTATCAGTATGCAATTCAAGTGTTTTTAAAGCTCCAGACCAATCTCAGGAACCGATGGGTTGTAACAGGAAAAAAAAAAAAAAGTATATATATTCGAAATGGTTAATATCTAGCATAGTTTGTTCTGAAAATATGGTGGTTATTGCTATAGAATCAGGAGTAAGGAACTGTTTATGTCAACTATACACATAACATAATGCTTTAATTTGGATTCTGGGCTTTGAAAACATTATAAGTTTGCATAATGTTGTTGATCTGTGAGAATGTTGTTGCCGTATTATACAAAAAATTTATAAATGGGGCCTGGAAGCAGAATCAGTCAGGGTTATTTAGCATCACTCTATTAACTCGTTCCAATCAATTGCTTTGACTTATTTGAGGTTTCTATTGTTACAAAAAGAATAATAGTGAGAATTAAAGGAAAGATACTGTGTATGGGATTTAGAAATTTAGTATTATATATTTAAGATTTATGGTTTGCTGCAGTCTTGCATGACGAAAGAAAAGATAAAGTGAATAAAATAAGCTGCCATTGATAATATCTGGTTAAGCCTTCAGTATATTTGTATGAGCACTGCTAGAGACTTTTGTAGATTACCTAGTTACTGAACTTGCATGTGTAAAAATGGTCATTGGATCCTGAACACTGTTTAGAAGACTACAGAAGTTATATACTCTGGCTATGCATGAGAATTAATACCAACTGTAATAGTTTACATGGTGTTAACTCCTAAATGTTTCTAGTTCTGATTTTGCCTGTCGTTGGTTCATTAGTGATAATCAGCTATTTTAAGTAACTTTAACATAATAAACTATATTCATGATAATGAATTCAGGAAATGGTGATCGGGAAGGAGATAATTTGAAACGTAATAATTCTTCGGACAACAACAAATCCAATGACACTGCATCCCAGAAGTCCCAGCGCATAAACTTGGACTGGAGAGAGTTCAGAGCAAATCTATTTGCTCGGGAGCAGGTGAGTTTTTGTTCTTTAATTGTTTGTCTTGCTGTTAATCTATTCAATAAGTCAACAGGTCTGACATCCTAGATAATGCTAATTATATATTCAACTTATTACACTTTTTGTAATTTTTTTTATACACAAGTGTCGCTTGACCTTCTTTCATATTCACTGACATTTATATTGTAGATTACTATCAGACACTACAACCTTGGTAGACAGAGAGGCCTGGAGGGAAGTTAAAACCTCAAGACTTATTGGTTAAGACGAACTTATAGGTTAAGACCAAAGGGTTTAACTACTTAAATCATAGGGTTAGTTCAGTACGCTCTTTGTGTTAGTAACTTTTAGTTGTTACAACCTTTGGATTTTGTTTTCTATGGTATTACAGCCTATCTGATCTTTGTTGGTAAAAAACTGTACTTGCATGAAGGAATATAGATTAATTTGGAGATTTAATGAAGAAAAAATTCATATTCTTTAGTCCTTTTGGGGAACATAAATAAAAGTGCGCAAGAATGGGGCCTCATTTCTGAAAACTGTAGTGGTTTCACATTATCTCCCTAACTGTTTCTGAGATCCAAACTAATATCCATGAGCTGACACTTGTTGGATGCCTTACCATGCTTGCCTGTCAGCTAAGATTTCTGTTTTTGGTTCAGTTTGACAGCTTGCTACTGACTTAGTTTCCTACTTGGTTATCTATGCGTTTGATATTGGCGATTTCAACATACTGGAGTGACCCATTCCAGTTTGCTTAGGTTCAAGGTGGTTTTAAGATTTTGATGGGATTCTCTCTTTCTATTCCTTTATAGGATGATATGGTAAATCTTTTTCATGCCTTGAACAGGCAGAGAAGACAGAGAAGACTTCTCAAATATTATGATGAGAAATGTGGTAACAATGAATTATGCTACTTAATTTAAAACTTACACTTCTATTACTTGAACAGGTAGAGAAGACAGAGTCTGATACTCAAAATCAAGGTGGGACAACCCATGAGTCCAAACCTCTTGGCCTAAAATGGGCCCACCCTATTCCAGTTCCTGAGACAGGCTGTGTCCTTGTTGCCACAGAAAAGCTTGACGGGATTCGTACATTCGAGAGAACTGTTGTTCTCCTTCTCAGGTCTGGAACAAGGCATCCACAAGAGGGTCCATTTGGAATAGTCATCAACCGCCCACTTCACAAAAGGATCAAGCACATGAAACCTACAAATAATGAACTAGCTACCACTTTTGCTGATTGTTCATTGCATTTTGGCGGACCTCTGGAAGCCAGCATGTTTCTGTTAAAAACAGGGCAATCGAAGCTTTCTGGTTTTGAAGAGGTAATCCCTGGCCTATGTTTTGGAGCTCGAAACAGTTTGGAGGAAGCTGCAGGCCTAGTGAAGAAAGGGGTGCTGAAGCCTCAGGATTTCAAATTCTTCGTTGGTTATGCTGGATGGCAGCTTGATCAATTGCGAGAGGAGATTGAATCAGATTACTGGTACGTTGCTGCATGTAGCTCCGATTTGATTTGCGGGGCCTCATCAGATTCATCATCGGAAAGTTTATGGGAGGAAATTTTGCAGCTAATGGGCGGTCAATACTCCGAATTGAGCCGGAAGCCTAAGCAAGATATGTAGGTACATTTTAGCTTATGGTTTCACCTAGAATTAAGTTTATATATCATTAAGATATAGAACCAAAGTATTTGTGAAGCTAAATGTACAGAAATTTCACTGGCTTTTTGTCAGTAGATCCCTTTTTCATGCTTTTCTCACATAAGAACTTGGCTAGTTAATAGCTCTTGTATGTAATAATACTTATTTATCTGATTATGCTAATTAAAATCTGTCACAGTTAGGCAGTTTATCTTGAATGTTTCCCGAAGTAAAATGAGGTAAGTTGAAAAATATAGTAAGAAGATCAAGTAAAATTGTATTCAAAATACTGAAGTGGGGTTACATAAGTTCTGGGGATAATGAAAATGTGGATAGGACTAGGAGTCAAATTTACTGAATTTAACAGAGCTGAGGTTGGAAAATTCTTAAAGAATATTAAGAAATAAAAATAAAACCCTGATCTGTGATTAATATAAACTAATTTCTTATAATCAAGTTCTTTTAACAGAAACAAAACAACAAAATTAGTTACAAAAAATAATATAATGGATATAATTATAAAGAAAATAATAATGATATAGATTTATAACAAGACAGCCTGGAATTTGATTAAAAATTAAGTGTCATAAAACACTATTCTTTAATCTTTTTCATTGCAGTTCCCTTTCATGTGTTGTATGATATCCATTATTATTATTATTATTTTTTTTTTGTGTTATCGGGGGTGTGCAAGCCAATTTATACGACTAGTTTTCCGACTCCGAACAAGGCTTTCAAAACATAGCAAGCCTAGCCTATTTTTATTAATGTCTCATATTGCTTTGTCTTTTTTAAGTGATCATGTTCTTTTAATCCGAGCTTTTATTTGGACATACACAGATGAATAGATATAGGAAAAAAGATCTTTAAAAATTCAAGAAACCGGAAACTATGACGGATTTCGATTCTCCGAAATAAGTATATAGCTTGAAAAACTTGGAGAAATTGGCTCAAATGCAAATATGAGCAAACCAAGTGTTAACCATCTCTTAAATACAATGAAGAGTTATGTTACAGCGAGTACATAAAATATTGGCTTCTACCCAACAACCCAATCCATCCTTCCCCTATACAAAGTAAGTTTTGCCGACCACATGGTGCAAGAAACTGAAAATTGAAGAAACATTATGAGCAAATGCTTATTGATTTATCATTTTCGGAACATTTTTTTTACTGCAAAAGAATCTCACAACTACCATTCAATATGGACCAATTCAATCATTGGTTAAACGTCCATGGCATATCGCTCTCCCTAGTATGATTTCCCCGGAGAGGTCAGCTGCTTTTCCCAGTGAAATTAGTCCAATTTCCAGGAGGGTACCATGTTCACAAGACAGCAGAGTTAAAAAGTTCTTGAGAATTACTTGGCATATCTTCCGCAATTGTATGTCTGACCGCGAACCTCATTGTTTTTGTTGGTTCCAGACTTCTCAAGACGAGCTTTACGAACAGCCTGTTGGATTTGTCTCTCGTGCTCTCTTAGTAAGTCATCCATGTTTCCTCCAGGAGGCATCAACGGTCCAGAGTAATGAATTCTGTTTTTCTTTGGCACATACCCCTGGAACAACAGAAATGCATTTCATATTTAGAGAATAACCAGGAATTGGACAATAAACACATAGCTTAAAGAAAATGTACCGATGTAGGCAAGAAGTAGTTAGTGCAAAGGGTACATTCATTAGGTTTCATGCTCACATTAAAATTCATATATAATTTTCAAGTATAATAAAGCAGGCGAAGAGGGCGGAAGAAGTTAGATAAGTTGATTACCGTTCCAGGTTCTTTGGTGAAAATTCTATCATTACTTCTAAGCGAAGCATCTTCCTGAGGATGTTGAGATCTCTGTGCCCTCAATTCTGTACCTATTCTGTTAGAAGCGTTCTTATTCCAAATGGCGCTAGGGTGAACGACTGAGCTAGTCTTATAGTAGCCCTTCTGCATATGTCCCCTGGGTGGGTCAATTGGAAAGCCAGCCCCAGCATCATCCTGTGAATTGTACTTGTGGCTGATGCTTGTGGTTTTTGACTGTCCTTGAGCAATGAATTCTGGTGTACGCAAATCTCTTGACATCTGTCTAACGGATTCAGGTCCACGTCTTTTTACAGCATCTGCCCTTTGCCTAAAATCAAAGCAGAGAAAGCGTATTTAACAATGTGCTTATTATGTTGGGATCTTTTGAAGATGAAAGCATATAATTTTCCCAGGCTCCAGAAATAAGTTGACGGCAATATCATGACATATGTTCCAACATAACACATAATCATATAACCTATAATAATCCAAAATACCATAGCCTATCACTTCACAAGATATAGTGTGTTCGTAATTTCCGAAGAGCCTAGAGAGATTTTTGAAATGTTATCTCAGATAATACCTTCTTTCTTCCTCGTCACGACGCCTTGCATCAAGTTCCTTGCTTGGTGGATATTTTGGCATATTTGATGGATCACAAGGGAGTGGTTCTGTCGTGAAGAACTGGAAAAAGAAAAACACACAAAACCATATTCAAATTTTAAGAACATTAATGTAATTCATAAAATGTTCAATTAGCAAAGAAGATAAAGAACAAAATCCAACAAATTAAACAGATACTTCAAACGTTCTTTTCACAATTGCATTTTTAGGATTCAAGGTATAAGGAGACAGATTTAAATACTGCAGGTGTTATACTTAAAAAAAAAAAAAAAAAAAAAAAAAAAAATCTCTTATAGTTTCAAATAACAAAAAGGGTTACAGCATGGCTTGCTACAGCACATGTGTAAGTTAAGCAAATTCTGCAATTCGTTGAGTGAAAATAACCAGGTCAATCCCTTAAATGATCTCTTGCACTGCAAAGAGAAGCCTAACAAATGATCATCAAAGCTATGAAGTTATCATCACACTGCTAGAAGTAAGCCTGTGACAAGAGACGGAGCAGTCAAATAAAGATTCCCAGCATCATAACTATCTAAAATTGGTATTGCCGTCACAATTAAGACCTTATTTTCCCACTATAACATTACACGCAAGTTTTTTTTATGCTAGTATAAACTATGATATGAATCGTATGACACAATTTGGTTAGAGATTGTGAGTCTAATTCAACACGATATTAATGTTAAAAATCACTTTTGAGCACTTGGTCCAGTATATCTATAAGTAAACTCTATAATACCTCACTCTTTAGTGCTGAAGCAGCTGATCTCCGATCTTCAGGTTCCATCGAAAGGAGTTTATCAACCAGAGACAATGCTGAACGAGGGAAATTTCTGAATGTTTCAGGAAGGCGGCGCATGTAAGGCTGTTGAGGTTTGAAACTAGTTGCATCAGCATGTTTTCTTTTCTGCCAGTACTCATCAGAGGGTGAACCACAGAGCTTAAAGATCTTATGCATTTGCTCCACCTATCAATGAATAAATCAAAATTGTTTAATCATCCCCATTGGAATATTTGTTTATGGATAAAACTTATTGATATTAATTTGCAAGTACATGTGATTATAACAATCAAATGCGCGTGCATACACACAAAATGCTGCATTTGTGTTCAAATAACCATAGATTTGTTATTAGTACTAATTGCTTGCCATTGTAGTTCATTTCATTCCCCAGCCAATACAGCAAAGCATCCATGACAAACAAATTTTGGTGGTTAAATGTTGAGGTAATATCTTAATATAATGATCGATATGATAGCAGAAAACAAAATAGAAAAGAACTGTAAAAGCAATATATGGAAATCAATCCAAAACAAATTTCAGCGAGAAAAGAAACAGATCTATATACGAAGCTTCATTCTAGAGTTATGCAGAATGTTCCTTGTATCTATGTCTAGCACGGGTAGAGATCTACTGACAATACCTCTGTTCGTCCAGGCATAATAGGTTTTCCCGCATACAATTCTGCAAGGATGCAACCAGCACTCCACAAATCTATAGCAGGTCCGTACTCTGTAGCACCAAGCAAAAGCTCAGGTGCCCGGTACCACAAAGTCACAACTCGACTCGTTAATGGTTGATTTTGATCAGGTTCTAATAATGTTGCCAGACCAAAGTCTCCAATCTTGAGAACTCCATCATTGTTTATCAAAAGATTTGAACCTTTTATGTCTCGGTGCAAAACACCACGACTATGGCAGTGATCAAGTCCACGAAGCAACTGTTGCATATAACACTTGATCTGGAACACAAATTAGCATATAGATTAATCCAAATTAACTCATTGAGAGAAAAGGAGAGGGAACTTTCAGAACTCCAGGATCATTTTACATTACTGCAATGCTGAGATTTATCAGATGAAAGACAAATCCTGCCTACTATAGTGTCCAGCATGCATTTACATAAAAATATTAAAGTTTAAACTTCGAAACAAACAGAAAAGAAACTACCTGAGATTCGGTGAACTTGATGCCTGGTGTTGTTGCAAGCCCGGCAAGGTCATGCTCCATGTACTCAAAAACTAGGTACAAGCTGCCTGACATTCTTGAAGTGACTAGACCCTCAAGCTTCATAACATTTGGATGATCAACTTTACGCAAAATGTAGATTTCTCTGGCCATAAAACGAACACTTTCTGGATCCATGTTGACAAACCGCACCTTCTTCAATGCAACAATTTTACCAGTTTCAAGATCACGGGCCTTGTATACACTGCTATAAGTTCCTTGTCCAATCTGCGCATGTATCATACAATTTGGAAATTAGAATACAGGGTTGCAGAACAATCCGAGCAAATTCAGAACCTGCTTATAACAAGAAAACGACCAGAAGCCAATGTGGACTCAACATATATAGATATAGTGTCCACAAATCACAACATTAACAAACTTCACTTCACTTCACTTCAATAGATTGCTTTTGAAAGGTTTTAGTTTCGTCATCATATCAATATATCACTACAATGGCAACAACAATATTAGCTGGTATTATTATTATGCTTGATCATAAACTGATTTTCGGTCTGAGTTTCTCTGTTAAATTAAAATGAAGAGATTTGATATCAACACAAAAGAAAATAAGTGTGTATTTTGCTCAACATATTCTATAGCTATTAAGAAAACCTTAGAAAGATAAATTCATATCATTTTTGTCTAAATTAACTCTAGACATCTTCTCTAACCAGACTTTCTGCTTTACTAATTCGATTATAAACAAAATTATCAAGTAGCCATTCTTCCTGATGCCCAAGTAAAGAAAAAGTATTCTGAAAAACTTCTATTACTAACAACAACTAGTAACAACATTCAACATTGCAGGTTTGTTATAAAATAAGAAATCATCCAAAAACATAGTAAAATATATATGGTGACAGAAGAATCAATAATTTCAAGAATACTAATCCAGTTATCCAACCTTAATGAAAAAAATTAAAGAATTGAACTAGTAATAAGCAATAACAAGAACTAACTTTTTCTATCTTCTCAAAGGAGTCTGCCCGCCGGGGCACCCACCCTTTTATAGCTTCACCTGCAACTGAAGCTAACCATGATGGCCATCCAGCGGCAACTTGCTCTCCTTCAGCACCAAGCGGCGAGCCAACCATCCTCGACATCTGTGACTGTGATTGTCCTTCAATGCCTGCAATGGCAACTCCAACATCCATTGTAGCACATCTTTGATGACGTGATCTCTTTGGCCCCTCCACAACCACAATCATTGTCTTCTTCTCAGCATCTTCCAATAAACCACTCGCAGAACTCGGATTAGCCTTAAACGACGGCCTCGCTGATGCATTCCCTCCACCACCACCACCAATCTTAAACGACAGCTGTCCTGATGCATTCCCTGCTCTTCCTCCTCCTCCTCCCCCACCACCACCACTCCTAAACGACGGCCGCCCTGATGCATTCCCTACACCACCAGGACCCGGAGCAGGACCGGATTTTCTTACTTGAGAATCCTCCCTCAATCTCCTCACTATAGAATCCTCTTTCACCGCACTTTTTCTCACTATAAACTCATCTTTCAATGAAGGGGCGGGTGCAGTCAATTGCACGGAAGCAATATTCAACTCTTTCTGTCTTTCATCCGCAGTTACATCATCATCTGGCGCCGACCCTTTTGAGCAAATGCAGCCCATAATCTTTACCTTCTTCCCAAATTGGTGTGCTGCAAAAACATACAAGCCACCCTTTGCAATAACTTTAACATTAAGCAAATGGGTGCCTGTGCATTTCAACAAACAATCCAAAATCTTCACCAATCCTTCAAATTTCAATATCACTAACACATTTTCTGTAAATTTCTCAATCTGGGTACTGTCACTTTCATCCAAATAAGAATCATATTACTTGCAAATCAAGAAACCAATCTCCTTACCTCACTTAAGAGACACATTAACGTCATAAAAATTTTACACAAAACCCAGAAACCTCTTCATATTCAAGACTCAAAATTCCAAAACTTTCTTCAAAACAAATCAAAACAAGACACTAAAACAAAAATTTCAAAAAAGAAAGGCTAAAAAAGAGGGGTTATTACTAACACAGAACCAGGCAAAATCAAAACCAAAACCAAACCAGAAGTCCTAGCACTGAACATAAACAAAAAACAAAAAGCAATATGTTCTAGGATGCGGGGATTTCTGGCCGGCCTTTGTTGGTGGCTGGTTTTTTTTTTTTTTTTTTTTAATCAATGAATCAAACTGAGGAAAAAAATAATTGGTTTTTTTGTTTGTGGAGAGTGAAGATTGAAAAATTGAGAGGACATGAATGGAAAATCGAAAAAAAAAATTAAAAAAATAGAAAACAAATTAAATTTTCAATTTTGTTAAGAGATGCCATATGGGTTGTGTCCAGTGTGTATCAAAGATAAGAAGAAGAGTGATTTGCGGAGCTACATTTCCGGTAATCCAATAGTTTTTCTGCCTTTCGCAGCTTTTTATATATGTAAAAACAACATTACATTCTTTTTTAATTCTATCAATTATATATTTATAATATGAAATTTTTATATTTATAAAGTTAAAGTACAATTTTTCCATAAAATTAATTTTTTTTTATTCTTTTATGTTAACATTTAACAATTAAAATTTACAAAATATTTTATTGTCTATATATTAATTTAATCGAATTTTATCTTATTATACATTTTTATTTTATGTTTTGTTCATATTTTAGCACTATAATTGATAAATTTTTAGACTTATATAAACAAACTGAAATTTGAATGGACAACGAACGTAATATAATTATTTTATTTATTTTTACAATTTTTTGTTTGGTAGTTGAGGGAGGAAAAGACAAGAACATGTTAAGAGCAAACAACGTAGGGATCGTAGTAGAAGCAGACGTGCACAGCAATAAGTGGGTGGTGGGTGTAAGTAAGACTTTTAAGTAGTTCAGAAACTGACACGTGGTCTGGTCTCAACTAAACTAACCGATTTGCTTTGGTTTGCCGCCAAATTTCGCCTATTTAAAACCAAAACAAATCTAGAGCTTGATTGTGATTAGGGTTTTTCTATTAAATAGAGATTTTGTTAAGAATACCTGAATTTAGAAGCATCTAACCATTTTTCTTTTTAATACAAATTGGGTGTGGTTTTATTGCCCTTTATCGTTTATCTTATTAGACCGTCTTTTATTAATTTGTTTTACTTCTAATTTTAGTTTGATCCTCTTTTAAAATGATTAAATAGAACAAACTAAAAATAATAAGTGTATACAAGATATATACTTTATTACAAAATTCCTAACTTTTATTCTAAATTATAAACATCTTTTTAAATCAATATTAACAATACCTTTGTTATTATTTTTGCTTCAACTTTTTTTTTTTTTTTTTAATTTGTAAAAAAAAAAATGGTGTTATTAATTTAAGAATAAAGCCTAGAAATTAACTCACTCACTTGACTAATAGGGTTTGTCAATATTGTAAAGAGAAATTGAATTGTTTTGCAGGTTCAATATGCAGGTTAAACTTTTTCGAATCACTACAAGATTGAATAAAAAAAAAAAATTTGATTATAAAAAATAATTCAAACAATATACCATCTTGTAATAAAATTAGTTAAATATTCTTATAATTCTTCCATGATTGATGCTCATCTCATATGTGATTTAATATCAAAATAAATCTCATAAGACAAAAGATATGTGATTCTTATGAATCAAGATTGATAAACTATATGATATGTAGTTAAAACTTAAAATATCAATAAGAATGGTCATTTTGGAAATACAATAATACATGGGGTTAATAAAATAAGATGTGGAGGACAAATTTAATAAAATAAGATGTGGAAGAAAAATAACATTAATCAATATGAAAAACATCCATAGTTGTTATATTATATTATGTACCCTAAGATTATTTAAAATAGAAATAAAAAAACCTGAAAATATCAAAAACCCCTTATAAAAGTATCAAAAATGGAATGATTAATTAAATATCTTATTTAGTTATTCATTTTATTTTTTTTTCTTTTTTGTTACACCGAAACTGAACTGCGTATATACACCTCTAATTAATATAGCTGATGCCATTAATCTTTAGTTGTTATGTTTGGCATTGTTAATAGAGTTTCACAATATGAAATTTCTTATAATTTATTTAAAAAGTAAAGAGCTACACAAAATTATATATTATCATAAAACATTATCTAAAAATTTATTCGGGAACTTAGCCATGGAAGCTATTTATTTTCACGTTGATAGCAGTAAGACATGGAGCACACCAAATGTTTTAATTCCATGTTCAAGATTAAACTATATATTATTTACTCATAATTGTTATCCGATACTCTTAAGCAATGTTTGTTACTATGAATTGTAATAGTATTAAAATAATACAGTGCTTGATGTTAATTTTGTATTTCGTCAGCTAATAAATGTAGAGGAAAAGTTTGCATTAGGGGTGAGCAAGAAAATAGGTTCTACTCGCAACTGTCAGGTACCTGGGATCCCGATTCCAGGTAGGAATTCTGGAACCGACTCTCATAAAGTAGGTTCCGGTTTTAAAAAATAGGAACCAGGACTCCTCGGTTCCGATTCCAACTTCGGTTCCCTCAATCCTGGAACTAAAACTTGGAATAGGGTGCCCTGCTAGGAACCAGGAATAGAGTACCCTACTAGGAACCGAGAAAAAACCAGGGTTTAAAAAGGTAGTATACAACATTGGGGGGTTTTATGTAATTTAACAGTAACTAATTAAAATTATTTGAAATATTTAAATTAATTAACGAGAGAAAAGTTAAAGAATATGTAAACAAATACAGGTGTATTTGTAAATTTTAAAAGTGTTTTTGTCATTTTATAAACTGGTAAAGACCAATTGTAATTATCTAGGGTACCTGAAACAGGAACTTGTTTCACAGGTTTCGATTCCAGCTAGTGAGGAACCAAAACCGGTCGATTCCGGTTCCCAATTTCAAGAACCAACTGGTTCCAGTTTCTCCAAAAATTCTAAGGTACTCGAACCCGATCACCCCTAGTTTGTATAGTGTAAAACATTTTTAATGAGATGGACTTTTGAAAATTGGGCCAAATAAAAAAAAAAAGTGAGGCCAATGTGTAAGAGGAGCCCACTTAAAGGTAAACAAAGCACAAAAGGTAAGTGAATTATCAAATAATGTAGCAAACTTTTTTATGTCTATTTAATTTCCAAGAACCAAGGGCCTATATATAATTTGGGAACAGACCATTTATAAGCAGCATAGGATTTTTCATTTTAAAACAACATAGACGTGGGCATTTGGGACCGGACCCAAAAAGCCCACCCAAAAACCCGAGCTTAGGATCGATCTTTGTGAGGATCGCTTCTAGTGGGTCCAATCCTAAAACCCAGCCCAAACCATGGAGGAGGGCCCGGGCCCCTATTCGAGACCAAACCTTTATTTCATTTTTTCAAAATGATCGTTGGACAATTATGTAAAAAAGTTTGGTCAACTCAACTCTCAATCTTTCTACTCCAGTTCTCAAATTCTCTTCAATTTATATTTACATTCATTCATATTATTATTTATATTATTCAGTTTTTTCCATTTTTCAATTTCATCTATTATTCATATTATTATTCAATTTCTTTCATTTTAATTATTTATTATTTTATTATAAATTCATAATGAATTCTTGAAAATATGTATTCGGAGGTTCATCCCCAAATGAATTTTAAGTTCCATCCATCGAAGAAATGGAAGAGTTCGATCCATTTTCACCATTTCAAGAGGCAACAACTCCAATTCTGCAATCACAAACGGTTGGGACTGGGTCCAGCCAAACACAAGTGAGCTGCGACTTCACAACCTGACCGTCAAAGAGGGTCGTGTCCAAGGTATGACAATTCTTCACCAAATCAAAACGGCCAAAGCTAAATGGGTTGGGGGAAGAGACGTGCGAAGAATGTAAATTTTGTTCAATTGTTATTAGCGCTGAGAACTGGACTTCGACGATGTGGTGACACTTGGAGAAAAAACACTCCCAACAAATGCAGTAGTCACGCCAGTCTGGTTTAGATTCAATCGCATCAGGTAAGCAAATTCAAACTCAACTTAATTTTAATCCACAATCCTCAACTCTCTCAACATGACAATACAATGTACTCATAGTACGAGAGGAAATAGCAAAATTCATATGTGCTACGGACTCTCCTATTTCTTTATTTGAAAATCCTTATTTTGTTCAAATGATTAAAACTGTTTTTTGTCTAACATTTACCTCTTTTAGTAGAGCTACAACTAGAAGGGACATAAAAAACCATTATGATAAAATAAAAAACCAATTTAAAAAGAATTTCAAAATTTGAGGAATATATCTATTGCACTTATTTCAAATATATGGGCTGCTAGATCGAAAATAGATTTTTTGAGTGTCACAATACATTATCTAGATCATGGTTGACATTTACAAAAAAAAATTAATAGGTTTTAAAATATTATATGAAAAACATAGTGCTAAAACTATTTATTTTACAATTATTGAAATTTTACAAGAATATTTATTATCTGAGAGAGTTGTGACGCTAATGTTTGATAATGCAACTGCTAACACCTTGACAGTTTCTTTATTTGAAAAGAGATTGGATCTGCAAGTTAAAGGCAAATTTTTCATCAGATATGTGCTTGCCACATCATCAATTTGATTGTTGAAAAGAGATTGGATCCGCAAGTTAAAGGCAAATTTTTCACTAGATATGTGCTTGCCACATCATCAATTTGATTGTTAAAGCAAGTTTAAAAGTTATAAATTTGAGGATTGAAAGGGTGTGCGCAGTTATTGGATTCATCGCCGGTAGCAAATCAAGATGGACTAAATTCCGCAAATATTGTCGCCAAGAGGATCTGTTAGTTGAACAAAAGAAGTTATGTACAAACATGCCTGTTTGTTGAAACTCCAGGTACTTGATGTTGGAAAAAATTATACCAATCGCAAGACAAATTACAGAGTTCGTCAACCGAAAGAACTATCTGGAGGAAGTCGTCAGCGAATCTGATTGGACAGTTTGCGAACTATTTTTTTTGTTTCTTAAATTTATTTATGATTTCACTAATTTATTAAGTGATATTTATTATCCTACTACTAATATAGTGTTAGATATTTTACTTCGAATTTCTACAACTTTTGCTAAATATAGATATAATGAAGATTTGCGTGACATTGTTGTTGCAATGGAAAAAAAATATATCAAAAATATTGGTTAGATATTCCATTCTTATATGGATTAGGTCTTATTATAGATCCTAGATTTTAATTAAGTGTATTTAATTTTACGATTACTAAGATAGGCCATAATTTACAATATGACTATAGTTCTTATTTGATAGACTTTAATAGAAAATTGAAAAGCTTTTTTTCTTTATATCAGACTAGGCACATTGGAGTGTCCAACGCCAGTAGAGACGAGCAGTTGGACCTTGATGAAGACCAAGGATGGCAAGGCACGAGCATCTGGAGATTTGTGGCACGTGACAACGGTGGTGGTGGAAGTAGTAGCTCGCATAAACAACTTGGACTAAATGAGCTGCATTGGTACCTACAAATGGACATGTCCTACATGACCATAAAGGAGAATCGTGAGATGAATGTGCTTCAATGGTAGAACCACAATGCAAGTCAATTCCCTATAGTATCCCAAATGGCACGTAACATTTTATCTGTGCCAATTTCGACAATTGCATCTAAGTCAGCATTCTCAATTAGTGGCCACATTATTGAAGAGAAAAGATGTTTTTTAACCAATGAGATGGTTGAAGTCATAACATGTTTATTGGACTGGACTCATGCGGACAAAAGAGATTAGCAGCACCCTAAAGATCTCGAACTACTCAACCTCTTTAGAAACACATATTTGGAGGATGTAAATATTATTGACGATGTAAATTAATAATTTAATAAAATAAAATTTGTTTAATTGTTTATTTGTGAAGTGTGATTATGTGAATATTATATTTATGTTAAAATTTAAAATTAAATTATTATTATCTCCTTAAAGTTTAAATTAGAAACATCCTAAATTTATAGCCAATTAAGAATTAATTCATTATTCATTAACATTTAGTCATTCATTTATATTTAATTATCCATTAATTAATTAATTAAAAATTTATAAATTATCCCTAAAAATTACATTAAACCCCCTATATAATTTCAATTAAGTCCCTAAATAGATAAAAAATAAAGGTTGGTAAATGAAATTATTTAGGCCCATGGGACCGGTCCTATGGGCCTAGGACCAGTCCCTAGCCCTAATATTTTTCATGGGCCTGCGATGGACCCAGGCCCATGAAAGACTGGTCCCAACCGGGCCCAAACCTGGGCCCGATTGTGTCCGATCCTTGCCTACCTTTAAAACAACTTTCATTCCAACCAAACACCTTAATTATAGTTTGTATTATTTGTGGTTTAGACGAATTGGAGACTAGCTTGTCCCAACAAAAGAATAAAAGGTTTTCTAAGTAGTTCACAATGGGAAGAATATAGTGTTTTTTTTTCCTGATTGTTTCTCTAGAAAAATTTCTAATTCATTGATTGATCTTTTCTTACTTTTGATTTACTATGATTCAATTCCTAATCCACCTTACTTANACTAAGAATATGCATCAAAATTTTTGTAAGATCTTCATCATCTTCAAGAACACAGGAAGACAATAGCCTAAACAGTGTCGAATTCATTTTTCAAATCTAATACGTCTAACATCATAAACTCCTCTCTCTCTCTCTCTCTCTCTCTCTCTCTCTCTCTCTCTCTATTGTGAGCTTTGAGAAAGCTTTGCATCTGATACATCTAACATCATAAACTCCTCTCGCTCTCTCTTGTGGGCATTGAGAAAGCTTTGCTTTGAGATGAGTTACAGACATAGGCACTTATTCTAGAAGTTCATATAAAGATGTTAATTCTTTATCTTATTTTTTCTTTTTCTAATGCAGAAGGAAATGTGCTGGTTTCTTTGACTTCAGCTGCCATATACAGTACATATGCATGAGTTGGATAGTGATGTTTGGTCTAATTTTGGCAATTTTTCCAACAGGTAATTGTTACTTCATTATTCAGTAGTCAATACTCTTTAGTATTAAAATTAAAATTACATAATACCATGTACTTTGAGTTGTAGTGCTTGTGCTTCTGTGGCTTTTACATCAAAAAGGACTCTTTGATCCTATTTATGACTGGTGGGAAGACGATTCTCGGACTAAAAAGCAGAGAATCAGGGATATGAGAAGGCACAATATTGATTTTGACCATTCCCACATCCATGTTGAAAAACATCACAAGCAAGAGGGTAGGCACCACAAGCATGATGCTCATCATAGGCGAAGTGGTATTCACATAGATCACAAACATGATCAGTCTGACAGGAACAGTGACTATTATTATAATCTTCACTATGTTCACAAAGATAAGCATAAACATGGGCACGGTAAGAAATCAAGTATCATGCAGCAAGTACACTTGGACAGAAGGGAGAATGATCATATTGGGCACCATAGACGCAGGAAGGATAGAGAATCTTATTAAGGGCTATCAAAGATAGCATATATCAAGAAGAGAGGCAAGAGGACTATAACTTGCTTAAGCATAAGCTGCTGGATGATCTAGTTTAAACTAAACAGTAAGCACAGAGAATAATAAACTCAAATTTCGATTGCCTGTTATATTAAACTTGTGTTAGAGCATATATATATATTTTCATAATTTCATTCTTCTTTCTGTCTTCCTTTTTTGGGTTGGAGGGTTGAATGGAAATGTTTCTGAAAATTTGTGGCTGTAAAATTGATATTCATATACAGAATGAGATCAGAACATTTACAATTATTGTCACAAGTAAATTTCATTGTAATGAGTATGTTATATTTTTGAACACTGTAGATGACTTTGATGTTTCTTTTTCCTTTTTTCTACTTGTCTCTCAAGTATACAATGACACAAACTAAAAGGAAAGCACATAACTCTTGTGTATGGCACAAAAAAATTGACCGTGAGCAAAACTGCAGCTTGGCTGGGACCATTGAACTGGTTCTTTGTTTTCTACAGTCTCCAAGAGTATTTTTAGACTATGATACTCCTTTTGTAGCGATAGGAATATTGAGTTGTAAGATGCCAAGTCAGGAGCTTAAGGTATTCTGCTTCTAGCCACATCAACGACCTGCCTGGTTAGTTCTGGTTTGATTATGAAGATTCAGGTGTTACATCTTTCTTTGTAATCTGAACATAAAAGCCGTTTGGAAATTGTAAACCAGGTGTTCGGACTATATTGCCTCCTTTGATAGGTTGCCACCTGAAGAAATCCCAAAGCACAACAGGTTAGCCTCTCTATCTCTCTCACTAACAGCACACACTCATCTCATTACACGGTTCTCTTACCTGTACTTTGTGACCAAGCAATGGAGAAATACAGCCATCTGCACTTTGGTAAAGTCTGTTCCAACACAAAATCTCATGCCACCACCAAAAGCCATGAAATGCTTAGATGCAGTGTTTGTCTCCATTCCCTGATGGAACCATTTGTTAGAAAGTTGAACCATAGAAAAATGATTAAATTTTAGATCACTTTATACTTGTAGAAAGCTACACACCGTCCATCTACTTGGATTGAAGGCCAGAGGATCTTCATATTTTGCTGGATCCAAGTGTACAGCTGGGGGACATACCATAACTGCCCAACCTGCTGGAATGGTATATCCTGCACCATTACAATTTTTATGGTATGTCAAATTGTTTGCTTGTATACACCTATTTTGTACAAACGCAAACTTGACCAATAAATTTGTTGCCTACCCTTAAAGTGGACATCAGTCAGTGCTTTTCTGAAGATTCCTGGAACTATATTTGCCAGTCTAACTGTTTCATTTATGAACTGCAAAATTGAAATGTTTTAGATTTATTGAACAGAGTTATATACTAGTATTCCAATATGTCAAACATTTTTAATACAAGTGAAAGTGATTGAAGTACCTGAAATGTATATGTCATTGATTTGTATTCTTTCCATGTAAGTCCAGAATCAGCTTTTTGTCGATTCTTTAGAATTGCCTCATGCTCTTCCTGAGAAGGTGAAAACATTTAGAACATTTTAGTTGGGGAAACACTGAAGAAAAGTGACAATATAGAAATTGAAGCTACAAAAATTCACACACCGTTAATTTCTTCAGCACCAGAGGACAATCCGAGAGAAATTTGACGGCCAAAGTTAAAGCTAGGGAAGTTGTTTCGAAGCTAGCAAACAGTAGCACAAACATCAAATCCAGAGCAATTGCCTCTGTGAGGATTGTAGTCTCTTTCTGAAGTTCTTCTAGCACATAATCGTAAAAATCAGTCCGATGCTTTCTTGGGTTTTCTCTTCTCTCTTGTAGCATGTTTTTCAGCATTTTCATCGCTCTTTGTCTGCCCTGAAAACTTTTAAACTTCAAGACCAAAAGCCAGAGCCAACTGTTTGATATTTAGAACTTGTGATTCAGGGCAATATAACTCAGTTCATGAGTGCCATTCATCCAGTTCAAGAGAGAGAAAGGGGAAGAAAAAATATAAGGTGTAATGAAGAGATTGGTTACCTGTAAACATTTGTGGTAAGCTGTTCCTGGAATGTCCAAAGGGAAGGAGATTAATCCTTGAATAAATGCAACAAAGTTCTCCCTTAGGTTCTCTGAGGAGTTGTCTTGATCATAACTTATCAGCTTCTTTGCAGTTAGATCAAATATCATCTGTAAAGATAGAATTATTAGACCCCAAACAAGAAAACAATAGGTGGATAATCAATTAGATGAAGAAAGGTGGGTGAAATTACACTTGCAGTTGCTTCTTTCAATTCAACTGTATCCTGGCTTGACCACCGTTGTAATTTCCTACATGCTACCTGCTCAACTTCAGGGAGCATTTTCCTTAGGCTTTCAGGACCAAAGAGATTTAGCACCATGTTCTTAAGGTACCTGTACATGAACCCATGTAATGAACCCACATTCTGTCGTCCGAAGATCTCTGTAAATGTATCTGGATACCAGCTCTGGAACATGTGTCCTTCTTGCTGGAAGATGAAGTAATTGAGATCAGAGTCTGTTGATATTACGACCGGTCGTCCAACTAAACTAGTTCGGAATATTGGGCCGTATCTGAAAAATGTGGATAATATATAGAGAGGATTATACTGATGAATTCACTAGTTGTTGAACCAAAAAGAATTTAAGTCAAATTATTACCTTTGCATCCTTTTCTTGATGAAGGGAGGAATATCAGAAGAAGTGTTGGGAGTGAAGAACTGAAGGGTCTCGCCGAGAAGCGGCAAGCCCATTGAACCAGGAGGGAGTTTACCATTGCATCTGGGATTTCTCCATCTGTAAAGCCAATGAGTGATGGTAATGATAAGCAAAGCTCCAATGCAGAAAGCCCACATCTTACTAAAATGAGAATGTAAATTGAAGATGATAGATTGAGAAAATGGTGATATAAATGTGGTTTGAACAGAAAAGAAAATGGACAAGGACAGGTTAGGATTACTGGAAAAAGGAAGAGTTTGAGGTGTGGAAACGTGGAGAGAATAGACAGGGAGGACAAGAAAGTGCTGGCATGTATCTCATCAACCATGAGAGGGGAGGCCTTCTTAAATAGGCAGGCAAGTTATACAACTAGTAGCTAATTAATAATAATTTTGGTTCTTTGTTTCTGTGCAGTTGGTTTTTGCATAAAACAAAAAGTTGTACAGTAGTTGAAGATAGAATAGAATAGTACAAGTTTGGAATAGTTCTGTCTAGCGACCGTCTCATATATTATCCTAATTATATGTCAACGGCGCCCATTTATAATTTTCCCTATTTTTTTTTTTTTTTTTTTAAATATAAAAGCTAGGTAGCTACCATGATCATATATGAAACTTACAGGATGTTTCCTATCAGTCTCTTCTCTCTCTAGTAGATGCAGGTGTAAGAGAACATATTACACGAAACTGAAGAAGCACGAGGCAGAATTCTGGCCTTTTTTAAGGAGATTTTGCAGGAACACAAGGGGTTTCCCAAGATTTGAGTGGATAGAGGTTCAAAGGATCTGTCTGACCAAATTAAGTATCTAAAAATCAATCTATAATACATCATTAAATACTGAAATCTATTGGGTTTTTACCAACTACTTGAAATCTTCTCATATCTATGTTAAATACTCTTAGTATCTATGTGATGTGTTGATATCATATTATGTATTTTTCTTTTTTAGATTTGGATCTCCTCCTATATCTTCTTTAGCTGTAGTCATTCTTTCATATTCTTAATCCTTCTTTCTTTTTTGTCAAACTCTCTTATCTAAGTGCATACATCATTAGTGATTCTCAGTGGAGTTCTATAGATTTGCATGCAACTACTATTTGTGTATGTTTTACTGGTGAAAATTTTCAAGACCAGTTAAGCTAATCTAATCTAATCTAATCTACTTCTTCAGGTTAACTCATTCAATACATAGAGCACCGTCCCATCGGCCCATTGAGCCACGGACTCAGACACCTCCTTGTCCTGCAACTACTGTTACAATGTAGGTAGGTTACTGTGAATTATATGTCTCCATTATTTGCATTAAGCCATTAGATTATACATTTAATTGATACACCTTTCTTTCATTAAAATATTTGAACGAAGCTTCATGTACATGTGATGTGGATGGATCTAAGAGAATGGCATTGTTTTAGAGCTAGAAAACAAGACCACAGGGATTCCTTTAACATTATTTCGTATGCTAAATCCAAAAATAAACATCTGGGATTCTAATTTCTAAAGCTGTAAAGTCAATGCAATTGCTAAGCTTTTAACGCGGTATTACACTTTGCTTCAAAGTACTTGGTGATCAACACTCCCTTAGGAAATGAAAGTGTTCGTCAATAGTCATAGCTGTCAGAAATATAATACATATAACGTGAGAATGAGACAGTGAACAACTTTAGTTACATCCCATTTAGCCATTGATGAAGTATTTCTTTTCTTTTTCTTATCCAAGCACTGAAAGAAGTTTATTCATCTGTGTGATTATTTTTAATAGCACAAGTTGGCTTTTAATGCAGAAAAGTGTTGAAATGGTTGAATGGTTTCTTTAAGAGGATGACACAGATTGCTTAACTGCTTGGAATGGACTTGGAAAGGTCTCCTTTAAGGGGTACACACAACAACCAATGACAGCTCAGTATCTCTTTCGTTGGAATTCTAAAACAGACTATTATTCTATTTATTAAAGATACAGTATTTATATATATATATATATATATATATATGGTGTTGCTAATTTGCTATTAAGTCAAGTTTAATGGTAAACTAAGCTTCTTGTGATGATAATTAAACTAATATCCTGGAGATTTCTTATGTCAGTTTACAAAACTAATACCACAGATCCGATGGAGGTTTGATATCTGAATCGGACGGCTGAAAATCAGGTTGACTTGAATGAATAATCATGTATGTAAGTTGATTGGTTGATTAGTTGTTAATCCTCCACGTGTTGAAGGGTGCCTACCAATGCGAAAATGAAGTGCAGGTTTTTGTGTTAATTTTGGTAGTAGTCAAATTAATAAAGGAGATGAATAAAATAGGTGTAGGAATCGAGGATGAGAAGAGAGAATTGAGCAGAAAGTTGTTCTTCTTGTCTGTGCCGTGCTCGTGGGGATTGAAATTAATAGTGTTAGTCAAGGCAGCAATTAATAC